CAGCAGGAGGACCAGCTCCGCCTCCACCACACCACCCCTGTCTGGAGACAGGTGATAACTAACCAGGTAACCGATGAAACATCTGGCTACATCAGCAGCATGTGAACACACTTCCTAATTAACCACTAAAAACCAATTAGATGTTATTAGCACATCCAACCCCTCCAGTGCAGTGCAAAGTGCTTTTTAAACTGGTTGGTTCATTTATGCAAAGGCGGGAAAGAATTCATGATGATTTTAAGTGAGAAAGTTTGTATTGTTTCACTTTGGTGTTTGTAGGATTAAATAGACAAGATATAACATGTTTGTTCAAATTGTCATGTCAATCAGTGGCCTGTCGGGTGTTATTGGGACCAAAATGCTCCACCTGCTAGTAGGCTCAGAAGGTGGTAGTCATGGATTTATAAGAGGTGATAGTTATATGGTTAATGAGTGAGCTTTGAGCCGAGCCAGGCTAGCAGTTTCCCCCTGTTTCCAGTCTTTGTCCTAAGCTAAGTTAATCGGCTGCTGGCTTTAACAGACAGATTTTTAAACTGGTATTGTTCTTCTCACATAACCGTCAAAACGAAAGTGAATTAGCTTGTCCCCCCAGCTGTTGAAGTGTTCCTTTAACAGTCTCACCACTAACTGACCAGTTGTGGCTCCGGAGCAGGAGGCCAGCAGCATCATGAGCGGCCGTAGAACAGGTTTATGGTGCAGTAGAGGCTGTTTGGCCTGAGACAGAAGCATCTGGTACATCCTGAGCTGCTCCAGCTTCATGTCCTCGGTAAACTGTCTCCTCAGACTCCAGAGAAACAGCCGCTCCATCACACCCTCCAGAACCACAAACTCCAGGATCGCACCCATCACTCCTCCTGGGGTCAGTGCACATCCGGCGTCAGACCCAGGACAATACAACAGACTGGCATGATGAAACGTTCTGTTCTTAGTTCTCCTACATTGACCCGCTTACTCCTCCATCAAAGCAGGAAGAGCATGTGTTCCACATAGTTCTGGACAGCGCTGGCCTCATCTGCAGGGATCGGACCAAGGTGCAACGCTCCAGAACCCCTGCTAACGTGACCGGTGAGGAAACCCAATGCACCAGTGCCGTTACGACCCGGCTCGTGTTTCTCCAGGATCTTCACAACCTGACAGAGAATGACATTGGAGACATTTTGGTAAGTCTGTTTCCATCCTCTTGTTTTTTTAAATTTGCACTTATAAAACCTGAGTGGAAATATTGTAAATATGAAAAAATGACTTAAATGTTGGAAAAATGCTTTTACTTTTGGCTGAGATGGAAAAGTTGGCACAGCACTAAAAATAAAATGCAACAAAGTGCAGTGGAGACATGCAGGTGTCTCGGCCTGTCAGTTTGTCATGGTAGTTGTAGCGTATTCGTCCCACCTGATTTCTACCCAGTTCTGGCTCCAGTAACTGACACAAAGTGGTTAAACAAAAACTAAGGCTCCAAAATGTTCCTTCAGAAAACCTTGGAAGACAACATATCTGTGTTTTAATGGTCTGTTTTAAAGATTTCATTCAATAGTTTTCTGTGAAACTGTAGCATTTGTCTTGCTTCTAAAATAATCCTCTTTAATTTGCACGAATAGACAAAGATGTGATTGTTCTGAGAAATGTAAGATCCAGTGGATGACAGTGGGAGCAGTGAACAAGAGATGAATGAGAAGAGAAAGAGAAGAACGTAACTCACTGTCTGGACTTGTATTAATCTTTGGCCTCGGCCGCTTCAGACAAACACCACACACACAACACACTTGCACACAGACATGAAGGGTGTGTGGGGTTTCTTGGCCAGTGTAGAGAGAGGCGTGCTCTAAATGGATCCAGTGTTTAAGGGCCAAGGCCTGGGTCAGTAACACACAGTCACACACAGCGTCTGCCAGACGTTCTGAGAAAAATCTGACTGAAGACACAGAGACAGTAGATGCCAACAGGAAGTGAGTAGTGTAGGGGAGGAGTTCAGTACCTGAGCCCAGTGGTTCTTAAACACAATCATACAGGTCTCGGGGTCCACCCCTCTCAATGTGATAGACTTCTTCCGCTTGCCCCCAGCAACCACAGAGGCCATCATTTTGATTGGTTGTCAGGTGACTATAGCATGTCCCAGGTCAGTATGTGGGATTTCTGATATGAGGACTGGGGGAGTTAGCTGGCGCGCTCAGCCCCGGATCAGGCCCCTTTCCTGGGCTCTGCAGGCAGCTGCTGGCCTGAAGGAGATGGAGGTGGATGGAGCTGAGTAATTATTGTGGTACACTTCAGAAGCACAGCTCGCTGAGTTGTAGACATGGCCGACACACTTTGACTTCCAGGAGCTTAGCAGTAGTTTAGCCACTTACTGACAAACACCTATATAATGTGTATCCCTGTATGTTTTCCATGTATGAGGCTGTGAAAACAACTGTCTGCCTGTTGTCCAAAGCTTGTAATGCTGTTGGCTTTAAGCTTGATTTCCTTCCTCCTAGGCAGCCCTTAGTTTATTTCACTAAACTATGAAAATCAATTTGCAGAGATTGGAGGCTGCACAAAGGTAATCCAACACAGTGAGCGGTGTTTTTAGCAGCGTGGCTCTAAGTGGGACTGTCAGCCTGTTAGTTGGTTCACCACTGTGGTTAGAGTATGTTCAGTAATAAATATAAAGTTCTCATTGTAATAATCAGCTACCTGCATCAAGTGGCACGTTTCTACAAGAACTTAACTGAGGTCCTGCCTGAAAGGTGAGAAATAAATCTAAACTTGTACAACTTGTGGTACAGCTTGAAAAATGATTAACAAACCACATAAAGTGCACAAGGTCTGTGCTTCTTGTTCTGATACATGAAAAATGACCCGTGCAGTCGATTTAAAAACATTCTTCTATGTCCAACTGTGGCTTTATATGCACTGGGCTGCCAGTCATGCAGTCTAATAAACAGACCTGCAGTCTTTTGTTTTATAATGTACTTTATTTTTTTATTTAAGGTGCTGTTCTGATGTTATCTGTGATGGTGGTTTGTACCGTTAGGTGGTTCTATTTTGTCCACATCACTTATTACAATCTCACTATATTTCTGTGAATGCAGAGAAACAACTGAGATATTCTTTGTCTGTATTTATCCTTGTATTTCTGTCTCTGTCCTAAAATTAGCAACTGTCAAAGTCAGAACAGGAAGTGATGGCCGTCAGCAGCAACAAGCAAACAGGAAAAATGAGAACGTGTCCGTTTCCCACCCTGGGCGTTTCGGGACATTCCATGAATTCCCAAGGGGCACTCCAAGAAGTCGCCCTACAGTAGACCTACCTCTGTGACGCTGCTACAGAGACAACATGGACGAGCCAGCAGCCTGTTGACCAGAGAGAGAGAGAGATAAAAGGTTATACACTGTCTGGCTCACACAACAAATCCATCCTTTACCATCTGGGCCTCTAATCTGTGTGTGTTCAGGGCAAACTGTTGGATTTTGGTCCAATTTCCTGTTTGGATTATCATGTTGTCATCATAGTGTGTGTGTGTGTGTGTGTGTGTGTGTGTGTGTGTGTGTGTGTGTGTGTGTGTGTGTGTGTGTGTGTACAAGAGAGAGAGAGAGACTAATCCAAGATGAGATTATGATGTTTAATCCCAAACCATGACCATGTGTGTGTCTTGCTATGGACTCATTTTAGCTCAGTGCCATCATTGTGAGGACATTTCTGCACTGTGAGGACGTGTTGTCCGGTTTAAACGACCCATTATATCAGTGAGTGTCCTCACAGCTATAGAAACACAGCATCAACCTGTGTGTTAAAGTTGGTCACATGCCATCACACAAACCAGGGATTAAACACACACAGTTTGTCTGGAGGTGTTTGGATCTTTTCTGACCTTGTTTATAATTTCAGGCAGTTCCAGCTGATCGAGGTCTAATACAGTTTTAGTGCAGCACGTCACCTTCAGCCCGATGCGGAGATACAGCGTCTATAAAGGACCTGAACCTTTTACACAGTTGTTTCGGCTTTGCTCCATGAGGTCTCAGCGATGTGTTTCTGGAGACGAACGTCCCATCACAATAAAACACAAAAACAAAACAACCAATATGAGATTTTGCTGATCTGATGGTTCTTTGTCAAATGTAAAAACTGTATCTCAGTTTTATGTAAGGTAACATGAGACCAGGGTTTGCTGCTCAGCCACATCATGGTGGACACCCCTGATCATTAAGGTCAGTATCGATGCTTTTCCACACAGAGGCAGTACTTTCACACTTTTAACCAACCAAAATTACTCGTTTATGGTTGGATATAGATCAACCTTTGGGTTAGAAGACACCAAGATTATTTTCTGTGCAAAAACAAAACAGCATTAGCGTTGTCACTGTTCCAGACCATATGCATGTGCCTGTTTGATCATTTATTGAATCATTTTGCTTTTAGTTGATCGTGTTTCAAAACACATTTGGTTTAAGCTCCTACTTGTCAGGCACAAGGGAGACAGTTCACAAAGCCAAGTCAGTAAAGGAGCGTATTTTATGTAGTGCAGTTTGTCACACCTCACCACCGGCAGACATAATCATACATGTGTCACAGTGCCCATGTCCCAAAACTGATGTAGGACAAACATCTGGTCCGTGAAGAGCAAGCCACCAGATGTGCAGATGTCACCTGTCCTGTTTCCCGTTACTTTAAAGAAAGCCACCAGTCAGTTGGTCAGAAACGGTGGTGCAACAGGATTACAACAACCTAAAACCTATTTTCACCTTTTGATTTTCACAGTAAATGCTTTATTCTGTCTCCTTTCCTGTGACACAACACTCTCCTGAAAGCTCTCACCCCTGAGTTTTGTCTTACAGTACAGTGATGTTGACTTGAGGCTTTCATTGTAGTGCAGCACTGAAACCGTTTAGTTTTGTCATCTATAGTGTGTGAACATATGATTTTGAGACACTCTTTAATTGTATAATCTCTATATATGTGTGTATAAAACCTATGCGGTTGATTTTGACTAATACTTTTGTATTACTACTTAAGTAACAGTTTGAATGCAGGACTTGTAACTAAGTATTTTTACACTATGGTGTTTCTACTATTAACTAAAGTACTGGACTTCTTCCAGACTGTGTCTGCATTATATTAAATTGTACTACTTCCCACTCTTCCTAGCCTGGTCTTGACTAACCTGCAGGGAGTTGGTCTTACCTGGGCTGATCACAGACAAAGTAATGCCAGTCTTTCTGTTTCTTCTTCCCACAACAGAAGTAAAGTAGGTTTAAGCTCTGTTACACTCCAGAAACGTATGGAAATCCCGAGGGTGGTTGTTGCAAAGCAGCGACTGTTATTCACGTCCAGACCGGCGAGTTTCCGAGTCTGACAGCTGCTTTCATCCTCAGGCTTTAACCCGCTCAGCTGTCAATCACTGTACATAGTCAAGTTATCTCCGCCCACTGGTACGAAAAGCCACGCCCCCAACAGGGCCCGTGTTTAAATGTTACGGATGAAGTAAAGTATTAGTATATTATTACAGGTTTTTAGACCTACAGGCTATACGTTATTGATTTATAATTACTGATGAAAACATCTGCGAACAACACGACAGATAATTTAATTGTTTAGTGAGTAAATTCTGCATTCGGTAAAGGTAAAGCTCATTTTAACCACTCAGGTACTTTTAACTAGCTGTAGTATGGTGGCCAGGTGGCTTAATCTATAATAATACATCATCCTGATGACTGGTAGCTAAACAAATAAATACAGTGGTGCAGAAAA